GCAAATGATATGAAAGCGCCAATCAATGCTTCTTGAGACCAAAACAAAGGAAAGAGATGAGATTTTGGTGATTCATAGCACAGTATGGTATCATGTTAATGGTCCGGCCCAGTTGACATCTACCGACTCCGTATGTGGCCCACAATGTGAAATGAGTTTGACACCCCTGGTTTATTGCAAGGGAAAACACGACACCGCTCCATGAATGTTGAACTTTGCGTCCGCACGTTCGTGAAAGATGACGGTGGGACTCGGTCATCTATTTTTTTTGACTTGAAAAAGCTCCTTTGTGGCGTTAGCTGCCCGGTATCGATGCAATGTTCTCGCCACCACACCGCTTGCGCACGTCACCTCGCGCCGTCGCGCAACCCACACAGCCACTCGCACTGGACCGAGATCTGACACGCGTCACTACAACGGCCTTCCTTCTGTTTCCCTATGGGTTGTTTTTTTTCTTTTTGCTCCCCTTTGATTCCCCCCCCCCCGCCCTAGGTCTTCAAAGAGGTGCAGAAGCAGAAAGCCGAGCAGAAGCTGAAACTGCAACCGCACCAAAGCGCCGAGGCGGCCCAGGCGCCAACTGCCAGTCGGTAGATGCCGGACGGAGCTCATGCCGGTCAACGGCAACATTTTTTTCTTTTTTTTTCTTCCGGGACACCTGTGTGTGTCCAGCCTACGGCCCCGGGGGCCATTTGCGGCCCACTCTCCATCTTTTGGGGGCAGCCCATCACGTGGATGCTTAAAGCCACACTTGAATAAATGGCCGACAATTTTGCAGGCTCTCACCGCATGGCGGAATCGTGAGGGTGTGTCGGCACTTAAATGTCCATCCATTTTCTACTCGGCTCATTAACTCGGCAACACAATAAAACGAGTCATCGGCATGAAATCTTCGAGTGCTGACTTGTCTTTGGTAACTTTACACCCCATTCCAGAGGAAAAAAGGCATCTTTTTGCCTCCCGACGTCATGGGCTCAGTCGTAGCCGTTAGCAGCACTTCATATCATACGCTACGCAACGAGGTTCCCGTTTGCTCGAAAGTGGCCGCGGATCTTCAACCGACCTCGCTGATTAAATCGCGAGGAATTCAGCGCGTGGTGGCCTGCCTGCACCAGCTGTTTCATTTCGCGTGCAGGTGGTTCAAAGGTGCCATCAGATGCCGCCTGTGCGGATGTGCAAGAAAAGCAAACCAGCAAAAAAAAAAAAAAGTTTGGTTTTTGACAATCACCGCAGAGATCTCGTCATCCTTCTCAGCCGTTTTCATTTCAGCAATAAGTGTGTCTTTCACCAAACTTCCTGTGTGGCGTCAAAAACTCTGCAGTTTGATCAGGACCGGTTGCAGACGCCCGCCCGCCCGTCTTCTGGTAAGTCGCATGGCGTTTTGAACGCCATCCCAACATATGAAAGGATTGAATGAGAATGCAGCTCATCGATGTCGTAAATTCGCTGTCGAATGTACTTAAAGTTTCTTCGAAAAAATTTCAGTTATTGATACATAAATATCCATACTGTATATCTATGGTTTTATATTTGTTTTTTTAAAATCATAAAATGTCAAAAGCATACACTTATACATACGTATTTTTTTTTTGTCGTATATTACAATGCTAAATGTATTACAAAGGATGTTGATGTAAAACGAAAATAGTCCGAAATATATACAGCTGTTATTTACTATATATATATATATATATATATATATATATATATATATATATATATATATATATATATATGTCTATTAGTTGACTTTTTTTTATTAGAATGCTTGTTTTTATTTGCCGTTTCGTTGATTTTAAAATATTTTCTGGAGGTACTTTATTTAGAGATATTCTGTATTGTGACTTAATTGTCATGTTAGTCATCGAAATGTATGTACCGGTAAACAAAAATAAAAAAAAAAAGTACGTTGAAAAATGTTTGATATAAACAGAAGGGGGTATTGAAATTATATTTATGGGATGATCATTGTAGTATTTTGAATCATTTCACCAAAAATATATCAAGAGTGATGCAATAGGAAATACGACACGGTTTTCTGTCATGATTTAAAGAAAACAAAACAACAAATGTCATGTCTCCTCAAGGTATCCGAACCCGCGGCCCACATGTCCAACCCAACGGTAACCACCCAGCCCGGCACCGGCGGCTACGGCACCAACGTCCACACGGGACAGTGGAGCACGGGCCTCTGCTCCTGCTGCAACGATTTGTCGATTTGTGAGTGGAACGATTTGTACGATTCTCATGTTGGGACGATCGGGTCCCCGATCAAGAGCACAATACGTCGGTCCCCCCTCCCTCACCAGGTGCTGCCGGCTGCCTCTGCCCGTCCATCCTGGCCTGCTACACGGCCGACAAATACGGCGAACACTGCTGCTTGGGCCTCGTGCCCGGCGGCTTGACGGCTTTGAGGACCCACATGAGGCTCACGTATGGCATCGAGGTATGTGGAAGTGAAGAAGAAGAAGGAAGAAACGCCTTTGATTTCACTCGCGCGTTGCACCAGAAAGGAAATGTGGCTCAACGGGGGCGCAACTGAGGAAGTCCATTTCATCTTTTCACAGGGGACTATTTGCAATGACGCGCTCATGTCGTTTTTCTGCGGCACCTGTGAGTTGTGCAGAATGGCCAGAGAGATACGCATCCGCAGTGGAGAAACTTCAGCGTAATAGCAACAGCGCACGTCAAAGGAATGGCGGTCATCTGGGGGGCAAAATGCATGGTGTGTTTTGATTATTTCCAAAAATGAGCAATTTCATAATTTGCTCTTGTTTTATTGACCAATTGCTTTTAAAGAAGAGCAAGATTGACAGTTTTTTTTTTTCCATACATTGTTTTTGGTGCCAAAAAAAGGACCAACATTTTATGGGACAACATATTCAAAAACAGAACTAAATACCTCTAAAAATGCTTACGTTAAGATTTAAATATACACATTGCATACATGATTAGAAAAAATAAATATGAATTAAATACAGTCATTACAAATATACTTATTATGCAGAATATGAATTGTAACTTTAGGTATTAAGTTTGTCATAAAAGAATTGTGTTCAATACTTTTCTAGTAATGCAATAGAGAAGTTTACATCACATTTGTTAAACACCCAATGAACAAACAATGCATGGCTTACGATCATTTGTTTCCATGACATTTTCACATTAATTACAATAATTTTGTTCCACACAAATTTTAGGCTGCAGGAAAAAAAAAAAATCCCCCCCAAACAATTCCGGAAGTTCATAGCACACGAATAATTCCACCTTGCTTCATTATTGAATGTTGATATATTTGTAGCAGATTCAAAATAATTCCACCTTGCTTCATTATTGAATGTTGATATATTTGTAGAAGATTCAAAATAAAAGAAAACTGGATCAGGTCCTAATACGTGTTGTTTTAATCCTTCGTTCTCGTCCTCTTCGGCGCTGTCGCGCAACTTCCTGTTTTATGACGTCCATCGCTCTGATTGGCTACTTTTTCCACCTGTTTGATGACGTCCCTCGCTCTGATTGGCTACTTTCTCATTGTAGCAACGGATCTCCTCGGTCGGTCGTCGTGAGCTCGCCACAATCCGGAGCTTTCTGTTTTTGTTGGCCAGTTCCGGATTTTGACACGTTCCAACATGTCGTCGAGGACTCTCCCGTTGCTCTTCATCAATCTCGGTGGAGAAATGCTTTATATTCTGGACCAGCGGCTACGAGCTCAAAACATCCCCGCCGACAAAGCAAAGAAAGGTGCCGATGAGCTTTGTGGCTACGCTACAAACAAACGACCGCCGAAAGATCGAAACGCGACACGAGTCACTTGTTCTTATTTGAGCTGCCGGCGCTTTAATTGAGACGCGGAGGCCGCTGTTGGCGGAAAAATCGGAATTTTAAGTCCCGGTGCGCTAGAAACGGGGCTTGTGGCAACTTTCCGGGATTTTGTCCACCCTAGTCGCGATGTGACGTAGGCTCGATGCCGATGGTCGTCAGTCATCTCGCGATATCTCCCTGAAACCTCTCTTTTGCCTTCATTCCCCCGCCCAGTCATGAATGACATCATCACCACCATGTTTAACAAGAAGTTCCTGGAGGAGCTTTTTAAGCCGCAGGAGCTTTATTCCAAGAAGGCGCTGCGCACCGTTTTCGACCGGCTGGCCCACGCTTCCATCATGAGGCTCAACCAAGCGAGCATGGACAAGGTGCGCCGTGTTATACGTCGCGTGAATTTTTGTGTGTGTGTTTTGTTTTTTGTTTTTTTTTTTAACATGACAAAATGCAAACAAAAATGATGAAAGGAAAATAAAAGTGAAAGTAAGTCATCCAAACATCATCACAGTTATATGTTCAAAGGAGTAGGAAGAAGTATACAACTTATCGAGTCCTACCCCTTGTTGTGCAATCATGTATATTGATCATTTCCAATACCAAAGAAAAGGAAGAAATCTAAATTTCAGCAAATACTTTTACCCTTTTGTGTCCTAAACTTATCTTATTGATACACCTTTCGGTTTGTATATATGTATCATTGTTCTTTCTACTTTTTATATCAAATGACTCATATTGATTATATATACTGCATTTCTTGAATACATTCAATAAGTTGTTCAAACCTTGTACTAAATGCGTACTGTGGCTCAGATCTGGATGCTTTCCTATTTTTTTCCAGCTCTACGACTTGATGACCGTCGAAATTTCATCAAATACTTTTACCCTTTTGTGTCCTAAACTTATCTTATTGATACACCTTTCGGTTTGTATATATGTATAATTGTTCTTTCTACTTTTTATATCAAATGACTCATATTCATGATATATATATACTGCATTTCTTGAATACATTCAATAAGTTGTTCAGATCTGGATGGTTTCCTATTTTTTTCCAGCTCTACGACTTGATGACCATGGCCTTCAAGTACCAAGTTCTCCTCTGTCCTCGACCCCGGGACCTGCTCCTGGTTTCCTTCAACCACATGGACGCCATCAAGGAATTTGTCAAGGACACGGCTTGTATTTTGGCTCAGGTGGACGAGACGTATCGGCAGCTCATCGAGGTGCGCCGACGCCTTTGCGTGGCGGCAATTCGGATTGGGGATCCGATGGAAGCTTGATCTCGTTTCTTCCTTTCAGATGTACGCGCCGTTAGCCAGCGGCGAATTCCAGCTGATTCGGCAAACTCTTCTGATCTTCTTTCAGGACATGCACATCAGGGTAAGTGTCGGAAGAACGATTTTGCCTACCTAGCGTTGACCATACAGCCGATAATTCTCCTCGCTTTGTGCTCTCTCTTGCGCGCCAGGTGTCCATTTTCCTCAAAGACAAAGTGCAGAACTCCAACGGTCGATTGCTATCCCAGGATGTATAGCTGCACCGGCGAAGAGACGAGCAGGCTGCAGTTCAATAATGGCGGAAATTACACCGCTGCACTCTGCGAAGGATCCTTTGAGCTTTTCGGCGACAGGGTCACCAAACTGGGCACAAACATGTAAGACTTTTCAACACACACACACACCCAAAACAGAAAACATGATACAGGGGTACCTTGTGTCATGGCTGTCTGATCAGCGACGGACCTTTCCTCACAGGTACAGCGTTTGCCGTCCGGTGGAAACTCACATGTCGGGAACCTCCAAGCGCTCTGCTCAGCACACCAAGGTAAAAAAAAAAAAAATCCGCACACACTCCAAGCTTGTTGTTCTTGTTAACAAAATCACTCAAACCAAAGTGGGAAACATTTTCATTAGCGGAATATTATCAAACGGAAAATGCGTTGAAAGAAAAAGGTTAAAATAACATTTATAAAGCCATTCTATCATTTTCGTGAAAACGTCCTTGGTTTTTTTTTTTTGTCTTTTGTTAATTCACATCATACATGAGCTTTTTGGCCGTTTTGATTTCAAATACTGCCGTAGCTCCAAAAAAAAAAAAAAAAAAAAAAAAAAAAAGAAAGCTCAGTCGTTTGAGAGCTGCAGCAAAAAGAAAAAAAAACTAAAGCTAACACCCAAACAAAAACCAAAAGGAGGCATTTTCAAATATAAAATAAACCAGCGTTCTCGAAAAAAACGATCTCAAATAAACTGAATTTAAAAAAAAAAAAAAAAACAAGTCATCATGAAATAAAGTACAAAATCCCAACGTATGGACATCCCTCGCACACCCGCACAAAGTGTGAACAGTTGCAATTGTGGACAGGTCAACCTGGTTCCCAACCCTCTGGCCAAAGAAGAGCTCAACCTCTTAGCCAAACTCATGCGAGGCTTGGAAGTCCCGAAGGCCGGCAATGCGGACAGCGGCTTCCGGGTGAACCTGTTCGCCACCGACGAGGAAGAAGAGTGGGTGGTACCTTGCCCCCCCCCCCCGAAGCTCATTTCTTGTATTCAAAACATACCATGTTTTGTTTTTGTTGTTGTCGCCACAGAGAGGCGTTACTGTCCAGACCGGACGAACTGTCATACGGATTCATAAACATCCAAGCTACAAAGGTACCGCTTGTCCCACATCCGTCACTCACCTCGCTTGTCCCACATCCGTCACTCACCTCGCCTTTTTCGATCCAAATGCACTCACTCCCCAAGTCTTAAGACCCGACAGTTAAACGTGAGGATGGCGACCTCCAGTGGACAAAAAAACCGAACCCAAACATTTGATCGTAGTTCTTCACGCGTTTTCTCTTGCTAGCTATTTTCGTCGATTTTGACTCAAGGCCAACAGAAAATGGGTGAAAAACACCAAAACATTTTCTTCACGTTATTTGAAATGTTGGCTGAAAATGAGTGAAGCGGTTCTTCTGGGCAACTCTTTACCCCAACAGGACCAAACCGCCAACGCCGAGCTGGCCAAGATCATGGGGGAATTCAGCGAGTCTCGGGAGTCGCCCGATCTGTCCACGAATGCCAGCAGCAAAGGGGACGACCTCCTGGCCATGATGGACGGCCTGTGACGCCATCGGACCCCCTACATTGTCCGCACCAGCTAAACCGACGCTGCGACACGTGCGCAGAAAACCTCCGGGTGCTTTTTCCTCCCGATGTTTGGGATTTTGTGTCCTTTTGGGGTGGGTACGTTCCGGAAAATGACCCGCGGCCATTTTACATTCACAGCCAAACAAGTGCTCTTTTCGAAAACCCGATTGTAATCCGGGTTCCATGCCGCGATGGCCTCATTCGTTGCCGGCCGGCCCCAGTTTCAATGGATCGTTGACGTGTGTCAGTTGTCCGTGGCGGTGAACGAGTACGGAGTAAACTCGGTCGTTTTTACACGACGATGATGATGTGGAAGGATTATGGAGCGGAAGTCGACAAATGACGGGGAGAATTTGTCGGTGGTTAATTGCATTGTCAAAAGGTGTATTGAATAGTTTTTATTGATCGGATTTATGTACTGTGTTTTGTGATGTGTATCTTTTTGCAATGTAGCTGTTCCAAAACGAATACAAATAAATTTACATTGTGCAAATGTACTTTGCGCTTATTTATTTATTTATTTATTTTTCCTCTCCCGTTTTTGCTCGTTAGGGTTAAGCGGTTGGTAGCTCCAGCTTGGGGTTTTGTCTTGGTTGAATATCTCGTGTCTGATTAGTTCCGGTTTTGGGATTGGGGTTAGTTCTGATTTGGGGTTGCTGTGAGTTGTGCTTTGGCATTAGCCCTAGTTTTGGGCGAGTTAAGTCTGGGTCCGTTCATTTGGTTTGGGATGAGGGGGGGGCTCGGACCGGCTTCGTTTCAGGGAGGGAGACTTATGGTGTAGGTCTGGGGGGGGGGGGGGGGTTTTTTTTGCGGGGTCCACTTTGCTCGGCGTTAGCGGGTTGGGGTAGGCCACCAACGATTGAAGGAAAACGAGTCCGGATTGGATCATGGACATCAACTCTTCATTGTTTTGTTCGTTTGTTTTTTTTTGTCTATTGTGGCATCGGGCTGTACCTCCAAAACAGTCAGGTGTCGAGAGACAACAACAACGGCTTGTTTGTTCGACCATTAAGATTGTATTCATAGGAGATATTGGTCAATAATTTGTAAAAGTAACGCCCACATGTGTGGGTGGACTAACCAATAGTATAGATTTTTGAAAAAAAAAAAATATGACATTTAACAAATTGTGATTTATGAGGTTTTGGTGTGATGCCAGTAAAATACAAAATATAAGATTAATTGCTGCTATTATCAGAACGTATGTATTCTGAACTTTTTTTTTAAATACACTTTTGTAATATATTGATTGTCCAAAATTACAATGTATGAATAATATTACAAACTAAACATATATATATATATATATATATATATATATATATGTGCGTGTGTGTGTGTGTGTGTGTGAGAAACAGACCACACGAACCGTTTTTAATCCTTTTACACGATGACGTAATCCCATCCTGTTCCATTACGTAAATTGAAAAAAATGTCATCATCATCGGCGATCTGCCAGACCATGATTGGCCGAGCCCGGCCGTCAATCTTGTCAAAAGCCTGTGCGTCACTTCCGTTGTCAGGTGGCGCTGTCGCTGTGGAAAGATGCGATCGGCGGCGAGCTAGCTAGCAGGCTTTTCTTTCCCTTAATCGCTTGCTCCTTCGGAGGCTTCGAGCGGCCAACCGAACCGCGGCGCTCCGTCCGGAGCCGTCGACAAGCAGAGACGTCGCCTCCCCTCCACCCCCCCCCCGCGAGAAATGTCGACGTTGTGAGGGCGGAGGACGACGCCAAGACTTTTTTTTTTTTCTTCGGCGGTTTCGGCTCGAGGTGAGCTAGCGAGTTAGCTTCGTGCTTAGCCAGCTGTAACCGTTTCCTATTTTGTTTAAATGGCCTCTTCCCCCCCCCTTCAGCTTGATGCTTGTCGGTCATAACCTTTTTGCCAACGCCGACAAATGGAGTCGACGTGCTTAATTGAACCATCGTTTCACGCCGACTAAGTAGTTTGCAGGGGAAAAACTTGCTGCTTGCAAGCGTGTCCTCTTTGTGTGTGTTTGCCTGCCCGTTGTCGGAGGATCCAAGCCGCCAAAGCCGATTGTTAACTTTCAGTCAAATAGAAAGTTCACCTCTTTGTAAAATGGAAAGATTTCTCCGTAACTCGAACCGACACCGGTGGCGGTGTAAGGGAGGATTTTTTTTGCCGCAGAGTTAAACAAACTCGCTTTCGAAATGTTCGTGGGACACTTGATTAGGAACGGCTACATTGTCATCTTCAATCCATCAATCACAACAGCTCACTTCGACATACCATCGTTATCCTTTTTATTTCCGGTCACGATGCAAATTAAAAGCAAAACGCATCCCTCCAAGTAATTGCTTAGGTACGAAGAAGAAAAAAAAAAACACTCCGTACTATATAACTCATCAATTAAAAAAAAAAAAACAAAAGTGCACCGTGAGGGTTCAAGCCACGAAAGTATACATGAGGAACGTGCTACTTAACATATAATTGGAGAAATCTTTCGACGACAACATTTAGCCACACGCAGACAATCAGAAATGCTCCCTTCGTGATGTTTGTCGGTGGAACAAATGTTCCAAGTGGACATCTCGTTGGCTGCATTGTGAACATTTTTAGGCGGAGGATCCATCCATCCTTTTTCTATCCCGCTGATCCCGACTTGGGTCGCCGGTGAGCCGGCGCTCGTCCGTGAAACGAGCTTTGTATGCCGCAAGAGGAGCTATAAGTTTAGCCTGAGCTGTTCGTGGAAGAGTGTCCATCAGCTGCCAGGCCTCTCCTTTTTTGCGTATGTCATGTAAGATTAACTTGAAACTATCGTCAAATGTTGTCGTTTGTGGTTCCAGTCAAGTCCTGAAGTATTAGGACACGGGCAGTTCTTATCTTTTTTTGGCATTACCGCAACAAGATTTGCAATGAAATGAGCCCAGATGTGCCCGAGCCCGCGTTTCACTTGCTGAAGGGAAAACGCTCCAAGAACAAAGCAGGAACTGAAGACGTTTGCAGGGGGAGGACAGGCAGAGCGCGACCAGGGGGATGAATAGCAGCGTCCGGTGACGTCTGTTCCTTCCAGACTAGCAGCTGTAATTGACTCCGAAGCATTTGCAGCCGAGCACGAAAGAGTGGAAGTTTGATTTGTGGTTGTTCGTCAGCAGGGTTCCCACGGGTCCTTAAAAGTTCATAAAAACCCATCAAAAAAAAAGAAGTTGTAAAATGATGTTCTTAATTGTCCTTAATTTTCAGGGAAATCTTCTAAAATCAATCATAATCCTGAAAAATGTATTTTTATTCCAAAAAAAAATTGAAGTTTTATATTTTCGAAATTTAAATTTTTTTGTGTACTTTATTTGAGAATGGAAATTTTTTTGTGTACTTTTATTTGAGAATGTATTCAAGTTTTTTTTTTTTTTTTATTTTCCTACCTGGAATACAGGTAGGGAAATGAAAATTTGACACCCTTCCTTTGGCAGCAGTGATTTGAACACCATCTCAGTGATATGTGGCATTCTGTTCAGCCCGCATATTGCTGAGCGGGCATTAAATCCACTGTGAATCCCCCTGCTGAATGGAGAAAAAGTCCTTAAAAATGGCGAAATTAGCCCTCAAAAGTCCTTAAAAAGGTCCATCAATAAAAAACAAGTGGAAGAGTGGGAACCATGGTCAGTCCCCTTAACTTTCGGTCCCTTCAAAAGTGGTGGGAGGCGTCCAAGCAAACGATAGCTAGCCGCAAATTAAAGCGGAAACGTCCGCACTTGAAGCGCACCTGCTTCGTTTGGTCTCAAACTCTCCATGTCACAATATATTATTCACGATTTTTGTTTTTGCTAGAATTGATGTCGTGCAGGAGATAGACGGGGGGGGGGGGGATTTGGGGGGCTTTGTTTTCGGTTCGCCATCTGCG